ACCCCCCGCACCGCGGCCCCCCAGGCTCCCTCGCCCCCAGGAGCCATTGCCCGGGTTGCCGGAGGACCTTTATCTGTGCAGAGCAGCACACCCGGCACAGACACCCGTCCCTTCACCAGCAGACGAGACTGAAGGCCTTCTGCTTGCGAACTGCAGTCCTTCATCATCAAGCCTCTGTTTCCAATACCCCAGCACATTGTATATCCCATCTCCAGCTGAGATAACGAAAATGTAAATCCCCACTCTCCCCGTCTGCAGGAAATTGATGTGGGCAAAAGGGATGCCTGTGATCGATGCTTCTCCTCACACAAGCACTCCAGCCACTATCTGGATAATGCATAGCGTTATTAAAGCATCAATTATCTTTAGCGCAAGCGGAGCTACATTAGCCAGAATCCAGTCTGCTCATTTTGATAAGGTTCACTCTGTTCATTTATCACCAAAACAGGGATACCGGCAGGGCACGGAGCCGGCAGGCTTAACTCTGTCAGGACGGAGCTGGCATCCACACCCTCCGTGCGTGCGCTGTCAGTCGGAGCACCCTGGTTGTCCTGGCTGCCAGGGTTTGTTTCTCAGGAGGCGGCGGGTGCTGCTCCCACACAGCTCGCGTTTTGCTTCTCTCACGTGCCTGCGGGATGGCCGCTTAGAAAATTCCAGGAGACCAAGACAGTTCTCTCTGAAGCCGGCCATACGCTCACCCAGCTGCAGGTGCCTTCCGCCGGCTCCGAACAGAAGTTTCGCTCTGTTTTTCTCTTTTGGCTCTACCCACAGGCTCCTGTTCTATCATTTTAGCGATGCAAGCACGGCCAGGGACAGGGCTAACAAACTGCTGAAAAGCAATTCTTTTTATGAACAGACCTAAAATTTCCTTCATAAACTACATTAAGATAGACTCTTGGCTTACGAACAGCAGTAAATCTCCAAGTCCAACAGACTTCAGTTAATGAATATTGATTATGATAGTGCTGGAACAGGCCGGTGTCAGTCGAACTGAGGACCTGTCGCCCCTCTTTGTCTGAGCAGGGCTGTAAATTACTCGAGAGCTCATTTGTTTTTCAAAATTAGGTAGCAGGAAAAACAGTGGTTATGGCTGCACCACAGCTTTCACTGTCCCAGCACTGGGGAACCATCTTCATGCCAACAGCAGCTGGCCAGCAGGGCGAGGCATTTCTTACCAGGGTTTTTTAAGCCCTCGGGAGCCTGTGGACCTGTCCCTTTTGGAGCTAAGGCAGGATTTATCAGCTGGCTCAGTGCCCAGCTCCTGAATGCTGAGAGAACCTTGCAGGTAACTCGGAGGAGCAGAAGTGGACTCCCAGGTGGTTAAGATGACAGGCAGGGGATGCTAGTTAGGAGTTCCTAATACCCACTTGAGATACCTGAATGTCTGCTGTGAAAAGCGAGTTATTTTACACATACAAGCCTAATTTCTTGGAGGACCAGTGCCAGCCAGCAACCAAGCCTACTTATGGCCCACTGTGCTGGAAGAGGGCAGGCACTGACTGCCCCAGCCCAGAGATCCCCCTGCTTGGGGCAAGCCTGCCCCGGGCCTCTGGCTGGCATTTGCACTTTTCCATTTACTTACAGGTGTAAGTACATTACATTTACATTTCCCTCTCTCCCCCCAACAAATATCTTAAAAGTAAAAATCTCAGCTGATTTAACAAAACCACTGTGGTCACCAGGACCTTGGACTCCCAAGATAAATCTCATCATGGTCTCGATGAGCAGCTCTATCTTTTACCTTCTGGCTCGGATAACTTTGAACGGCCTTTAAACGAATGAGAGCTCTGGCAAATAAACCACGGGCAGGCCGTGGCATCATCACGGAGAGGCCTTACCACTGTCCTCTGGTGGGGGAAGGAGCCAGAGGCGGGTGGGGAGGCTGGGGGACTATGTCAATGTTTTCATAAAACTATCTTCTATGCTCACTCAAATAACCCAACAACAACAAAAACAAACCCCAGAACAGCCCTCTCCCCGCTCCTCACATCTGATAAAAATCAAATAATAACAGAAGTGACTTCTGCACTCTCTGCCTGGTACTTCAGTCTGGCCTCCCAGTTAATACGCACCATGATTAAAGCATCTCTAATCTGCAGTCTGTGGAGACCTGTAGAGCAGCAGCAGCAGCGGGTGTGCAGCCTGATAAGGGTTGTTCACTCGGTGCAGACGAAACTTTTAATATTTATAACTGCTGATTTTTTTCCCTGATGCCTCCTATCGAGGGGAAGGAGGTGAAAGTTTAAAGATAAAAGCTTGATGAAAGACCAGGTGGAATGTTTTTCCAAGGACAGGCAGGGGCTTAAAGCTATCTCCATCCAAGAGTGGTTTAAGAACGCTGCTTAGGCAAGGGCAGCCTCAGCGATGGGGGATGCAGTCTCTGGAAGACCTTCAAGGCTCGTCTAACGAGCACCCAGGCTTTGAGCTGTGAGCTCCTCTGAGCCGACGGCAGTTTGTCGTTCCACCAAGGACAGTGGGGCTGTGCCTGGCACTGCTAGGCACCGCCACAAAACAATTAAGTCGCATCAGGTTAGCTGCACATGCTTTACGGGAAGTGCTAGCAGCATTTCCAGCTCAGCACCGAAGCATGCCGAGAGCTGACAACACGCTGTGTCAGCCGAACCCTCCATCTCAGCGTCACTGGGAGCTGCAACAGTCGGCACCCAGGGCACTGAGAACGCACTTGAAAAAATAGTATCTTGCTCCAATCAAGTCACCATTAATTGCAGTACGGCGCTTAGGATCCACGGCTGGTGAAACAGTGAAGAAGCTAGTACCTTCAGCCTTCCTCCTGGGAAAAAGCAAACCCCCATTCCCAGCAGCACCCCTCTTCCAAGCGTATCGAGAACGTTTTAGTCCGTGGTCAGTTGGTCTCGGAGCCACAAGGCTCAGCCCACAAGGCAGCACCAGGCCGTACCACAGGGCAGAAGCTGCTGCTTTCCACTGCTCCCCAGCAACTCCACCCGCCCCGTGTGCAGGGTATGCTGGTTTGGTGCCAGCAGACCCCAGGACAGCAGACAGAGGCACACAGCTTGCGCAGCCACTTGGACGCCTTCTCGACAGACAGACTCTGCTCACCCTCTGTCCAGATACAAGCACCCAACCAAACTCCCTCATTCTCCACACCATGAGACCTGGACTTGCCCCATGCCCAAATGGTTTAATACTTGTACCTTAAAAAAAGAATCCTGGAGTGTCAATATTATGAAAGATATGAATGATATTGCCCATCAGTAATTTCAGACAGATATAACTGGGCCAACTTGAGTAAAACAAAAAGATGCAGAGAAAGGTACTCAATGCATATATTCATTCATTTTGTTATTCAGTATACTCACTCATTTCACCTGAAAGATGACACGCTTATATGCTTCTCTCAAAGGCAGCTCTGTGGTCCTCATTACTATAGCATCAGAGCACTTCAAAATCTTTACAAAACACACACATACAACGGACACACGATGTAAGGAAACACATTTCAGAGCTGAAATGCAAAGCTTAGGTGAACCTGAACTGAGGTCTCTCAAGTTGCAAGTTACCATCTCAGCCATTCCGCCTTCCTACCCCAGATACCAGAAGTCAAAGAAAAAAGAAAAGCAGGTTGGCCAGGGAGGAGACAGAATTGCTTTTTCACCAGAGAACGACAAAGAGTGAGACTTCTCTCCTTTAAAGGAAAAAAAACAAAAGCATCCTGAAAAACACCCCATCTGAATTCAGAAGCATCAGAAAAAGAAGAGGCAGAGCTCTATACTCTGAGGCCATGCCCGTTGTTTGGAAAGCACGAAGAAAACTGGATGAAGAAAACATAACACTTTGTCTCTCCAAGACAGCTGCAGTTTTCCTTGACTTGAACAGACCTGTCTGCCAGAAATTAGATTTCTTAGCCGCCACTTTCTTGCCTCTATTTTTCTCCTCCACAAAATATGATTTAAAGTCTAATGAGACAGTAAGTTGTTGAAAACGATTACAAAAAAAAAGTCTTCAGTAAATTTATCTGTGTTCTTAATAAGGAGCAGATCTCAAACTTAAAACCTTGGGGAAAAAAGAACCAAACCTACCAGAAGGAATTTCTGCATGACTTCTGGAACTACATGAAGAAAACAAATTAACAAAACCACCTAGTATCAGTGGACTAGTTAAAACTTGATTAGCGCCTGGATACACACTGGCCAGAGCTCCTACAATGCTTGCAGGCTGCAAGCGAAGCTACATAAAGCTGCTTATCATTCTGAAGCAAAAATCAAGGATTAGACACACCTCCCACTGCACATCAGCTGGCCTCCCTAGCTACCGCAGTCACCAGGATTACGCTCATTTCCAAAAGTCATGAGTATTTTAACTTCAGCAACCTCACAGCATAAGATGGATGAAGGAACATCAGCAACATTTCATAGATGGAATTACTGAGCATCATCTGAGCCGTTTTTGACAAACCTGAGCTTTCAATGCCTCGAATGTGAGAGTGTTAAGATGAGTACACAGAAGCTAAACATCCCTCTGAAGACATGAGTCTAAAAGTGTATATAAAAAATATACTTAGAGCATCATCAGGTGTTTACAGCTATGTATTGAAGTCACTTGTTACAAAAAGGTTATCAGGTCTAATAGAAAAGTAACACATCTGAGAAATAAGACCAGTAGCCTGAGACCACAATTCCCCTCAGTCCCATCGAATGGCAGCAAGGTGGTCTGTCGATGCAGTCACTGATCGCAGCCAGCACCAGAAGCCTTGGACAAAAGGGTTGGAATCCCAGCAATGAACAAATCCAGAAAAACTTGCTTTGATGGAAAATCCCTCCCAAATATCAGGTGGCAACATGCAAGCGTTAGAAACAAGGAGCAACAAAGGAAAGTCCATCCATGGGTAGCGGCAAAGGTCACTGAAGAAGGCTGCACCCTTCTCAAGCAGTCCCGCTCTCATCACATGGAGATACTTCAAAGGCAGAATTGCTGAGGCACAACACGTGAGCTTTGTTCACGTCCCTAAGATCAGTCAGTTGTGCAGATGTCTTTATAAGAGATCATGTCAATCTAAAGCGAAGTGCTCTGCAAAGATATCATTTTTCTTCCCAAACAAACCTCGCACTTGCTCAAACTCCAGGGGCACATCAACGGCCTTTTTCTTTACTTCTTTATCAAAAAGCTACAAAGAAAAAAATAGAAGATATTGGCAAAACTCAGTACAAGCTCTTCACCCTGGCTGATACCACTGCTCACTTCAACCTCTGAACAGATCCAGCACTAAACCTTTTATATAAAAGCCATGCCTGTCACCACTGCTGTCTCATGCTCCATTACTTAACAGACATTTTCCCGTTCTCCCTGTCTTTGGGTAACCAAGTCAGCCTAGCTCCCTCCCCAGCAGCAAGGTTGATGAACAGGACACAGCTACAGCATGCAGTCTCCTCTCCTCTGGTTCCAGTCACCCACAAAGGCACAGCAACGCTACCTCATAAGCTGAGAGCTCCAGGAGCCCTGATATGTCATCCTCCATTTCAGACAGCGACTGATTCAGGACAGCAGCTGCCTTGGCCACCTCGGGGTGATAATGGTTTTGTAGAGACTGCAGAAGCAAGACAAACAGGAGATGGTCTCGTAAGCACAGGGTAACACAAACCCATCTGCATTCCCACACAGATGGTCTGTTGGTCAGATCCTTAGCAAACATCAAAATGTGGCAGAGGCAAGTTTGCTGTACGGCACTACCGCAGAGCTTCAAGAAATCTTGATTTCACACATTTTTCAAACACACCAAAGGCCCCTCTCACCACACCCAGCTCAAGACAGACAGACTCCTCCACAGACCATGCCTACAACGCGTAACCCCGTAACCCCGTCCTCCTGCCTCCCACAGCCCTGACGCTGCACCCCAGCCGCTGCTCCCTGGGCTTCCTGCTCCTGCACAACATTCTTGGCGCTGCTTCAGCCCCTTACACAAAACCCACATAGCATTTAAATGGAAAGTGATCATCCTGGCATTAAGGATTTAGAACCCTCAGGAGTAATTTAACCAATTTCAACCTTCATACGCCGTGCTACAAACGATCCAAGTGAAAGGTGAACGTTACAATCTTCCCTAGCATTTCTAAACACATTTCTATAGGATGACCTAGCTGTACCCAATTAATTTCCATCAGTGCTCAGCAAGTTCTTCTCTTGCCTCCAAAGCAAATAAAAAGCCTCATCCATTTGCAGCTATTTAGTCTGTTTCAGCTGTTAACCACACATTTTTCAGCTGTGCAGTCAGACACGTGCTCACAAGTCACCCACTAATTAGCATGCACGATTTCTCCAGTGTGTGGAATCCTTTGCCTCTTATGTTCGGACAGAAAAGGATGCAGAATAAATGATCAGCCAGAAACTCATCTCATTTGCAAGACGTGTGCCGGCAGGTTCTTGCAAGTGGGACTGCCCACTGCCAACATGTGTCAAGGAAGCAACAAGGGTTGAAGAAGCCCTTCCTAGATGCAGATGTCCTTTTTCAGCTGACATACCTGCATCTCCCAGAGAGAGCTCTCCAAAGCCCTGCTTTCAGATGGCTCCTCCTCCTCCATAATGTATGGATCTTCTGACATATCTGAGGAAACAGAAATAGAGAGCTAATACCTTCTGCGTGATGTACGTAACCCCCAAGGGAATGCAGAGACCCAGAGCCATGCTGCAGCCAGAGTTGCTCCTTCCCAAGACATTTAAGGTCCAGGAACAAGCTGACACATGCCAGCACGACCCAAGAGTCACTGTTTGCAGCACTACAGAATTACACTACTTTTGAAGAGCCTGGGAAGTAGGGCACAAAGGACTGGAATAGTCTGATGCAAAGGGCATCTCAGACAACTTCGAACGCTCACTACTGATGTTCAACACTGATCCGTTAAATCACGGAGGGATGAAGTAAAAACTCAGGAGACTGCTGAAGCCCCAGTGAGGCCACCTACACAACACCACTACAGACTGAAATTGAAGAGATCTCTGGTTTCCACATTCATTTTCTTCTCATTTCCTGAGGTGAACAAGACAAGCTCTGTGTCTGGCACAGGTCCCCGCAGCCCCTTAGCAATTGTAAGCAGCCCGGGTCAGTGTGCCACGCTCAAAGCAGCCTTCTCCTGGGGAACCACGGAGGTGGGAGAGCCAACCGCGAGGCCGAAAATCAGAGAGCAGCAATGCAGACGGGTCTTCACAGTCTGAGAAGTTGCGGGAGCAGCCTACCGGCTTTCCATAAGCACAAGGGACCGAGGGGTCCTTCTAAATCTCAGAACTGGGGCTGGGATCTCCCCTCCTCCTCCCCACGAATCCTGCTCTTCATGATGTCAACATAAGGCTCCCCTGTCCACCTTCCCCTTACCCTCTGGCCCGCTGGGCCTGTGCACTAGCACTTTGCAGGCGGGGTGCCTCCGAAAGAGATTACAGATGAAGGGAATGACCATGAGCAGAGCCTCGGGAGGAGCAGTGAGGGCCAGCCGGGAGAGACGCTTGATGAATGCTGCCACCAGGTACGCCGGCAAGTGACTGTTGGAAAGGAGACGGGAGAAACTGGCATGTAAAACTGCCAAACAACGTGAACCAGCAGTCTCACCAACCCAAGTCAGGCTAAAGACCAGCAGGGCTCCTCAGATTTTGTGGGCTATGGGGTAACGAGAAGCTGTAAGAATCCTGGTTTCAAGCAGTAATAGAGGGTCTTGTGCACTCTCTGGAACAAATCAGGGGGCATTTTAATTCAAGGCATCAATAATCTCAAATCACTCTGCGATTCAATGCAGATGCATGGCACCACTCCAGGCACTCACCGTAGCCAAGCACAGCTCTTGTACGTGGTCACTCACATGGCAGTCTTTATTCAGTCATTTTAGAAACCTGTGAGTGCTTGGTCAGGCAACCGTAATTATATTCTTCTAATGTCGTTTTGTGGGTTTAATTAATACATGGGCCATGGTATTAAATTTACATAATACTTCCAGGACTAAAGCAAGCAGTGCAGCTGTTAATGGGAACATAAAGCTGCTGTAACGTACATGTGCAGAACAGTTATTTTTTTATGGTAGAAACATAAATTTCTAACAGCAATCAGCTCATCTAGGCACTTTCTTCAGGTCAGAAGAGCCGGGATGAGAGATAACAATTTTCAGCCACTCCGCCTTCAGCCCACTACACCTGCAAGGCTCAGCAAAGCCACCCCACAGGACACCACCCCTCAGACCTTGTTACTCTCTCCAACCTTGGTTTATTTTATAACATATGATGGCAACTATATGACCAGTTGTTTATCTAGTTTCTTTCCTATGTACAGTGAATTGGCAGCATCAAGGCAGACTGTCAAACACTTCATATTTCAACGTTATACGTGTGCAAAAGGTCATCAATTTACCAACAGTTTTACGATCTATAGAAAGCCTGCAAATGTTACTTTTCCATATTCATAAAGACAGACAGAAAAATTACCACTTTCAGCCAAAGTGGAACAGAGATCAAAATACACCCATAATCATTTGCAGATCAAACTCGGATAACTAACTGCATTTTTACTTTCTGACACTAGACGGCTGTGTGGCAAATATTCAAAAATAGCACACGAAAAATTTCACAACACTACAGTAACACTCTTGGATTTGGTTTTCTCAGTAAAAATGAATCTGCTCCAGTAGGCACACTGAATACATTACATCCAGACATGTGGGGGACTGTTCAAGAACAGTCTCTGGCCAACAGAAAAGCAGGAGGAAAATAGGTGAACATACATAATAAAGATGCTACTTACGATGAAGACAAAAACAGATCAAGCAAATGGAAAAAGCGGGCTCGGTACTTCACGTGATATATAGAAGGGTCTAAAAGACTGTACAGCTTTTTGTAAAAGGCAGGATATTCCCTGTTAAAAAATGCAAAAGGACAGCAACCATCAGTCATGTACAATGGGACTATGCGGTCTCTACATGTTTTTGTGCTTTCGTTATAAACGACCCCAGACCACTGCTGTGCTCCATTTAGCTTTCTTTGGTTTCTCTCCATAGCCACCACTTGAAAACAAGCTGTAAGGTGAATTTCTGGCTCTTGCAGTGCCCATTTTCAAGATGCGAAGCAATGTCCATTGACTGCACATGGTACCGGATCCCGTGAAAGACACACCAAAGACCACGGCTTCACTATGTAATCAGATCAATGGAAATCGATTTTCAAGTGCTGAGCAACCACAGTCTGGAGAAGAGGATATTTAGGCTCAGCTGAAAAGAAGGTCAGACTGTCAAAAGAGCTCAGCATCCAAAAAGCTAAGCCTCTTGTGCAGTGTTTGGCTTTCTCATGCAGGAATTGTAAAGCCTGAAGATGTACAGAATCCACTTCAATTTCTTTCTATAAAGATATAAATAAAAAACCCCATGTTCCTTTAAACAAGACGCTCTTCTTACTTACAGATTATGCTGATGAATCAGAATAAATAATCCATTCAAGGCTAGAAGACTGATTGCTCCACCTGTAAGAAAGCAGACAGGTATCAACACAATAAAAGACTAAATGTCAGCTTCAACTTATTTCTATTAAAAAACCTCCCCAGAAGTCACACAAAAATATGAGTACCTGAAATTAGAGCCAGCACGATGGTATGGTGGCACAGGTTCATCTGAAACCATCCAGAGGCTCACAAATTACTTACAAAGATGAAGCTGTAGTTTAGCATAACAGACTCTGAAGGACTGAGAGACACAAACATGCTGCTCTAACCCTGCCAGAAAGCCACACTGCAGAGGCAAAGGTCTCCTCAGAAAGGACATTTTTCTGTAGGAACCTGCACACCCTGTGTCTGGATGCAGCCCACATATCAGCAGTGCTGGCTGAACTCTGTCTTTAAAATAAATCACTCCAGTATTCCACTCATCCCAAAGCCTTATGTATGAATCCCCTTACATACAAGGAGCAATAACACTGACAAGCACAGGCAAAAACATCTCACTTTCAGGGACAATGGAGTTCACCCTAGTTCCTCAGCTTCATCCCAGCCAAAAGTACCTCTGTTCCATCATCCAGGCCGTGGCGCTGCATCCAGCAGACCTTCCAAGTCCATACGCACCACGCTGCATGGTGCATCACATGTATGCATCACAAAGGATTAAAAGCCTGTTTTCACTCACCTATGCCATAGGCCACTGTCAGGAAGTCTATCATGAGGGTGGGTTCATTCATATAGGGCAGGATGGAGTCATGCAGAATGACAAGAACTTTTTTGTAAAGGCCAGTGGGTAGCTGTGAAGAACAAAACAATATAGTGAAACCATCACTGCAGGGAGAACTCCAAGGGCACCAGCAACCCATGGCTCAAAAAGGCAACACACAAGCAAAAGGGAACGCAGCAGGACAATACAGAACGGCTTGCAGCAACAGTTCCCAAATGGGAGAGTTTACAAGTGACACCAGACAATCAAGTTCGTACAAAGAAGCAGGTGCTCACAACTGGAAGTGTCATTACAGTTTAGAGGGGAAAGTCACCAGCAAAAAGGCTTGGGAACCTTCAACTTCTGAACAGAGGTTGTTATGCTGCAGATCACTCACCACACACAGATGTGTTTAAAGCGGGATAAAAGGCAGAGAGTCAGGAGAAGCAGCAGACCATACATGAGGTCATGTTTCTTGGCAGGAGAATGACTCAACAGAAAGGGTGACTGGGCTGTTCTCATCCAACACTGAAAGCACAGGGAGCTCGGACCAGGAGCTCCATGCAAGGGCGGCCACAGCCTCGAAGGGTTAGCAATCAAACAGCGATGCACAGCAGTGGCAGAAGTAACACTCACCTTGTGCTTTAAAAAAGTGAGCCACATTTTTTGAAACGCCTGCTTATGTGCCTTAAAACAGAATTGCAAAGAATGAGTTAAACACACCGGTGTAGACACAGGTCAAAGTAGGTAAAATTTTAGTTCTGAAGCACCAAATGAACAGTTACCTGCAGCTTCGACACTTTCAACTCCTCCCAGTTATCTAAGAAGAACGGGAAAGGAGATGTTGAACTTGAAATGGATGTTTAAAAAAATTAAGATGACCCTTTTTCACTTAGTCCTTTGATACCCTAAGAAAAATTTTTAGGGCTGAAGTCCTTGTCTTGACACAAGGCCATGACAGTCCCCACCGCAGACTGAGGAATGTGAGTTTTGTAATATTGTTTGGAATCACTGTGATCACAGAACCAGACATTTTTCATTAGCAAAGAATAATAGCATCTATGCACAATAAAAATCCTAAACCTGATTTTCCTTTCATACACAGTTCATCACGTGGAGTTTACTAACCTTGCTTCACCATAAATTTGACCATGTCACACTCCTTGTTTGGCATGTTAATGGGCGAAATGAGGGAAAATACATTCTGCTGGTAAAACGGCAGCGGCCTCTGAGAAAAAAGCATATAATCAAACATGCAGCAAATTCCACAACAGATGGCAAGATGCTGGACTTCCATATTTCTCTATTTCCCAAGCACTGAATCTATTTAGGAAAGAAAAAGAAAAGGAAAAATGCTGATGGCTGAACTACGTACTGGTATATTCTCTATTATTGCCTTATTCTGGAGCGTTATTTGTTTGCCTAACACAAAACCTATCTCTGAAGTAATTCTGGTTTAACAAAACTGGTGGATCCAATTAAAGAAAACAGACTCTTCTGCTGCACCAGACAGAGAACAGAATTAAAACTTCTGCATGTGCCACCCAAGTTGCAGAGACTTGGGCAAAACAAAAGCTCGAGCCCAGACCAGGTTTTGCAAGAGCAACAGTACGAGTGTCTTGACCTACTTCCAGTTTCCAACTGAGGGCAGTCTTAGCACAACTTTGTCTTGTGAGCAAGACAAAACAAGAAAAAAGAAAAAAAAATCCAATGCCTTCAAGTGAGCACAGCCATTTCTCCTGCTTCCAAAGTCTGTCCATATGCCACCAGCCCCTCCCTGCTTCACACACAGGATGCAGGTTTCAGAGCAGTTTATCCAGACCCGTCTCAACAGTAACCATTTGTTACCTCTTTTGTCTTCTGCATGACTTGTCCAATGCTTTCAGTGACCGCCTTCATGACAAAGTACCGAACGTCATCATACTCCATATATTCTTGAAAGCGAGAGATCAGGAGTGAAGCGTCTTCAGTTAAGGGAAGTAAGCCATCAACCACCACCTAACAAAAGGTTTGTAGAGGAGAGCAGCGAGTCATTCTCTCACGGTACTGGAGCAGACAGCGAGCTGTGACGGCTGAGGGCACCCCCTCTTTCAGAAAAAGGCAGCTAGCACGGCCGCTTGTCCCAGAGTAACATTCCCAAGCCATTCTGACAAGCCCTCCTAATCTCTGCCATGGGGCCCTTCTCCCAAAGACAACGTCGTTTAGAAACAACGCGGTGGCTGAACCAGGGGCAGGACCTTTCCTCCCACCTCCCAGTCCTCGCCAGTGCGGT